GCATACATGGCATGAATCAGCTCCTGCTGCAGCAAAGACAGCCACGCTCTTCAGTTCATTGCTTTCCCCAACCACTAAAACAAGCATGTAATAGAAGTTGAACTTTAACTTCTTCCAAATGCAAGCATTAAAATGTGAAATACCATAAATGCATGTCCTCTTCTGTTCCCACCCCCACCCCCATATATTCAAAGGCACATGCCAAAATATGGCTAGCCTACTCCTGTGGAAAAGCAATCTGACTTTGACACTTCACTGGAGAAGGATGAAGTCTCAGCTTTTGGGGAAGACCAAAGTGCATGGATGTGTTAGAAGAAAATATCTGTTTTGCTGGAGTTTATAATGAAGTGTGTGCATGCATATGTGTGTGTAAAATAGGAAGTTGCTTAACCAAAAACAGCATCTCTCTCTCTCTCTCTCTCTCTCTCTCTCTCTCTCTCTCTCTCTCTCTCTCACACACACACACACACACACACACACACACGCGCGCGCGCGCCAGTTCTACTAACTGGCAATAGAGCTAATTTGAGGGAAAGAATCTGTTCCATTCAGCACTGTAAGAATATAAGACAAGTTCTGCTGAATCAGAACAAAGCTCCAGCCGATCTAACAGGGCTGGTCCAAGGCTGCAAAGGACAATATGGTGCCTCCTCTCATTTCTTGTACGGACGGGCAACTAAATCTTGCTTCAACAGTGCAGCTTCTCCTACATCCGAAGGCTACAGGATAGTTTTGAGGATACAAAGCAAGCCATATGGCATATACAGGTGGTTCTTCCAACATCTCACAGTACGCTTTACCCCATGTGGCAGGCCCTGGAGAGCAATCTAATGTTAGGGCCACCCTGTAGTTCAGCATGTCATTTTCCACAGTGGGCAATCAGATGTGCCCAGGAAGCCAATAGCCCTGTACTGCTATTGCTCACCAGAAACCTGTATTCAGCAGTGTCTTGCCTCTGAACCTGGTAATTCCATACATCAAAGGTAATAGTTGCTGACAGACCATGCATTTGTTGAATCTTCTCTTACCGCCACCTAAGCTAGTGTCTCTCATGCCATCTCACAGCAGTGGGTTCCATACGTTACATGGTATATACATAGTTTTTGTTTGTCTGTTTTGAAGCAACTATCAACCAATTTCATGGGATGATCCCAGAATACTACTATGACAAAAGGAAGATTAGAATCTCACTCTCTTCAGCATTACCGTGCCATGATATATCTTTAATCATGCCCTCCTCTGGTAGAGAAGATGCTTCAGTCTTCATCCCTAGTCATCTTAGTGGCCGTTGTCTGCACTTTCTTGCCTGTTTAGACACTGACCTTCAGTGCAAGACTTCTGGGGGAGCACAGTTTGAAAACAACAGATACAGCACGGAAAATGAAAACACAAGAGCCACAAAAATCCATACCATCTAGCAGAGCTGAAGAGGGCACTTTTAACACTACATGCCGCAATGCCTGGGAAAGTACATTGTTCTTGGTGCTGAAATGAGACCGATTTTGAGGCTGGGAAAGCTTCCCCAAGAGTGTACTCCAAATGGGAGATAGCATGTCCCCTCCCCACTCACCACCTACCTAACCTCAGGGGACAGGCAGACCTCAGTGAGGGCCTTATGGTGGCGAAGAAGGTAGGTCTGGGCAGCTTCATATGGGGGTCTTTCCACTCCGAAAATATTCTTTATGAGATGGCCTGACCAAAAATGTAGACCCCAGATGTGGCTGCATTGTAGATTTGCATAAAGTCATTAGAATACTGTCGGTTTTATTTCCAGGCCTTTCCCTAACCACGCCTGGCATGGAACTGGCCTTTTTCGCAGCTGCCACACACTGGCTTTACATTTTCATTGGACTCGCCACCATATCCCCAAGATCTCATTCCTTGTTAGTTACTGCCAGTTCAGCCCCCACTGTGGCTTCATCTCACACAGCAAAAGAGACCACCACTGATTCATACTGATCATTTTTCATTTTTAAAGTGGATAAGCTGCCATAAGACTTCTCTCCTACTTTCCTCCTTCCAAAAGGATGTTCCCAAAGGGCCGGCCAGCATAATACATTTTACTGTGTGGTGGAAAATGCACATTCTACAGGATGTAGTTAAATATTAATCTTGCCACATGTGGGTGATTTCATGAGAGCCTTTCAGCATGCTGATGGTACATATACAAACTCTCTCCAACAGTGCTCATGTGAACTAACCCTTTCTTCAGTGTTAATAACTGCTAAGTGATACTATTATTATTATTATTGTTATTATTATTATTTGAACATTTCTATGCCGCCCCTTGCCAAAGCCTCAGGGCGGCTTACAACACAATAAAATACAATATAAAAATAACAATATAAAATTAAAATAAATAATATAAAATAAATAAAAAATATAAACCATATAAAGAAGTTATAAAAGAAAAGTTATGAAAGAAAAGAAAAGAAGTCGCCCTGGCCAGCTAAATAAGTAAATATTGTTATCAATTAAAATGACGTTTAAATAAAAAGGTCTTCACCTGGCGCCGAAAAACAAATAACGACGGCGCCAGGGGGACCTCTCTGGGGAGCGCATTCCATAGATTGGGCGCCACCGCAGAGAAAGCCCTCCTCCGAGTACATACCCTCCTAATTTCTTCCACGGAGGGTTCCCGGAGAAGGGCCTCTCCCGCAGATCTCAAGGGGCAGTCGGGCATATATGGATGTAAGCGCTCCTTCAGGTAACCAGGTCCCAAGCCGTTTAGGGCTTTACTGTGAATGGAAGTTATCCCTAATTTACTTTGCTCCAAACTGGACCAGAAAAATCCTAACACGTCCAAAACTAGGAACAAGATTCTTCCAACTCCTTCAAGCTTTTTCTTCATAAGAACAACAGCCCTACTTGGCTATGAATTCATGCTCCCATTTCTGTTCTTAATAAGGGCATGAACTCCAGTCTACAGTCTTGTGATCATTACTGCATTCAACAGCTTCTGACCATTAGCCATGACTATATTCAGGTCTCAGACACAACAGGGATGCAAATATCAGCCAAACCTCTTCTTGACAATAAAATATTGCACTTTTCCCCTTAGGACAAAATTTGCCTTTAATGTACAATCCTTAAAAATGGATGAAAAAGGACAACAAACTGAAGGACCCCTTATGACATTAACTCTTGCTTTTCTAGTAAGAGGCTGCATTTTAAAAAATGACATTCGGTAGCTAACAACTCTTGTCCCTTCCCAGTAAGGCATTTCCTGGTCCTTTCTGAACAAATACTGGAAAAGAATTATTTCCTGAGTCAATGGGCAGAATTGAGGGAATGTGTTGGCACAGACAATGAGAAAGTAGGGCATATGAATGCTGCCTTCTTTTTCCTTTCCTGCAAACAATATGTATTTCTAACAGTAGCAAACTTGGCATTTCCCCCATTTTTAATGAAGATAAGATTCTGGAATGGTTCTACTGCTCTGATTATGTTCTATGTCACTGGTATCATTACTCTGATTCCAGGTTAGGAAACAGACATTCAGTACATCCCTTTCTAGTTTGGTTCTAATACTAATCAGCATAGTTTACAATATTTGTAAAAGAAAGCAGAGAAGGGTAATCAGAATGTTTGCTTTTGAAGGAATGGCCTATCTTAGAATAGGCTCTCAAAAATTTTATCACTGGATATTAGTTATGTTGCAAGCCAGGTTTCCTCCCTGCCCCCTTCACACTTCCAAAACACAACCATTCCTTGGCAACAGCTCTTTATTCTCCAATGCATTTCCAGTACGCACAGCCAAGAGAAATTGAGTCTCTGACCATGCACAGGGCCTTTTGTTGAACCCAATCTAGCAATTACTTCCTAACATTCTCCTTTTGAGTAGCCCTGGGCCCCTCCCTTCTAGGATGTGTTCCTTGGAGGTGGGCAAGCCTCTTCTTTATCTGTTGCCCCTCTGGTTCGTCAGCCCATCTCTTCCAATGCCACATCTCAGGGTCAAGAGTTGTGCCAGGCTTGGCTGGCTGCAGGGGTTCTTCTGTCATGTCCCTTCCCTACAGCCATAAATCCTGGCTATTCTTAACATCATCATCCCCTTGAAATGAGCCCCTCTGCTCCTTCCATTTCAATATCTGAGAATTCTGGTTCCCAGGATCCCTCATCACTTGAGAAGTCTGTATCAGCCTAACCTTTGACTGCATGCCAGAAATAGCTGTACCTTTCATTCCCAGCTAGTTACAACAAACATTTTCAGCATTCCCAGCTAGTTACGACAAACATGCTGCACCCCAACATTTCTGACACTGCTTCGAAGGCTACCTGATCCCAACTTCAACAACTTATCTCCAACAACTTCTCTTCATGCTACTTGAGGTAGCAGCTACAATGGCCGCTTGACAGACATCCTGTGCTCAGTAAATATTAACCAGAAATTTATGCATGGAAGTGGTAGTCCAGATCCCAACAAGGTTCCCTACAAAGTTTGTGATAGATACAATTGAACCAATATCCTACCACGCACACACATATCTGTGTTTAATTCACAAATACCAATAGCTCCACCCCTCTATTAAGGATAACTTCATTACAGTGTTTACCCCTGTACACATTAACAGTAATAATCTCACTCAGATGTCTATCTGGAGCAAATTACTTCCTTGATCAGCAGCGTCATCGTATCACATTTTCTACTGCTTAAGCCAGCTTTCCCTAGCCTGGTGCTTCCAAGCATGTTGAACAACAACACTCAAACACACCTGGAGGGCACCAAATGGGGAATGGGCAGCTTAAACGATGTGTATTCACCTAGTAAGGAAAATAGAGGGATGCAGAAGGGAAGCCAGGAAGACAGGTAAGTTTCTCTATTTAACCCATTAGCATCCCCAGGTTTTCCACTGTCATAAACAGAAGAGAGTCCTCACATTTGGACAAGATGTGCAATTAGCCAGGGAGCTCTTCTTGAGGGTTCAACCCCCACTGTGGTAAGCAAATGAGAAGATGGGGTATAATAGTTTAGCAATGAATCCAGAGAAATTTGTACTTACCAAAACAGACTGACTCCAAAAACAATAGAACAAGAAAAAGGTTCCTGGAGTTCAATTGATACTTCATGATTCCTGAAAGAAAACAAACATATCTATCACTTAAGTGCTGTAGAAAATTTTTGCCATCTGGAGACATGTTCATGTTATCAGGTGAAACCTGGGGTCACACTCCAGAATTGTTAAAGTGGGGGGGGGGATCAGACTTTAAATGCAAGCACAAAAATAAAATTTATTGATGAAGTGGAGAAGAGCAAAGACTGTGAAGTGGAACCAATGGTTCCCAATGTTTAAGTATAGTTACAGTAGATTGTTACTTTAGTGCAAAGCTAGAGACTGAATTTTACCCTCCCCCACCCCCAATCTGAATAGTCACACAGGATGCAACTCTGCAACACAGAATACTGTTCTGGTCTGATGCAATCCTGTTTGTTTATCTGCCTCTTGTTGTTTTATGGGAGAAATTGCATCCATTACACATGGGGGTCGGGGAAGAGAGAGAAGGGTGGCTGCAGAGCCAATATGCACTACTGAAAAGGAGAGAGAAAAGAAGAGAACTGAACCTCACTTGCCAAGTGAATTTAGATTTGGTGGACCTGTAAGATTAAGAAATCTGTCTATAAACTGGCAAGAGTGTATGGGGTACTTGTCAAGGATCTATTAGAACAGAAAGTAAAATCAGTTGCTTGTTGACCAACAGAGGAGTTTCATAGGCCATGAGAATGGGAAAATGTGCAAGGCATTGAGTGGGCTGCTTTGGTAGCAAATATTTAGAAGTCTGAACTGATGCAGCTGTGAATAATGAATACCATAATTAAAATTACATTTGCAGAATGGTACAGCTCGCCTGGCTTTCAGCCTAGACACAGCACTGAAATGATGCTTTTGAGCGGTGTCGGTGATCTCCACCTAGAGATTGATAGGCGCAATCGCATCTCATTTGTCCTGTACATGTTCTGAGGCCTTGCATATACTTATTAAAAAGCGTTGGGGATGCAATTATGCAACCTTGCAGAACTACTCGAGTGGTTCTGGTTTTTTTGTTTTCTTGATAGGGTGTCACTCAGAATATGGATACGGAATTTGCTTTTGTCTTCCAGAGACCTTCCTTGTTCTATTTACCCATCCTGTTCAAAGTGCAAGGTATATTCTAGGCACAATTCAATGTGCTGATTATGAAAAATATATAAAAGCTTAACTGCTGAGAGCTAATGCACCTCTAAGTCTGCCTCTGCCTCCTCCATCATAAATTTGTCCAGTCAACCAAGGATGCTGTCTTAACACCATCACCTGTGCAATGAGCATTGGGAGCAAAGGCCACAATGAGTAATTCTTTTTCTTCACACTCACTGAAGTTCAAGCTTGAGAACCTTTCGGTCCATCACAAGCACCCTTCCTTTCAGGATGACTTTCAGGTCTTCAAGTCAGCAAATTTTTCTCAGTATAAAAGAGATTTGATTTAATTCTGCTTTAAGTTAATTTAAATTTTCTTTTATACTAGTAGCCACCTGAGTGTTGGGAATGACTGAGTTATGGGTTATTGACTAAAAAAAAAAAAAACACACCACCAAAGGACAGCAAGACTGTCAAAACCAAGGTTTTAACATGAACGTTTAACTACAAAATATAAAGATGGGGCAAACGCTATTAATGTGAATCAAATATGCATAAAGAAAAGCACCTTTTCATTTCTACTTGGTGTGTGCAAATGAAATACTATTGGATTGTACCCAGTAGAGGGCACATAATTCTATCTATAACCTGAGCACGGCTGTGATGTGCAGGGAAGAACATTAACATGCAAACCAGTACTATGCCTCCAGGAAAATTGTAGGCATGGATTATCTGAGCATACATTTTCTTACACCAGGGGGAGGGGGAACAGAATGAAATATGGCAGCAGAGTGTTTAGAAGTGCTAACTTGCCTTGGGTCTATGTTGTTTCCCTACAATAAAATCAATCAAAAGCATCACACTCCTAATAAAGAAAAGGCAACTGTCAAATCACAAGTAATTACCATAGAATTCAAAAGAGGACTAGAATTACTATATAGGAATCATTTCATAAAGACTGTGCCTATTATATATGCATAAATACAATGGGGGCAGGTACTGTAAAAAAGTAAATGGAGATAGGTCTTGATGGAGGTAGGTTTTTCTTCTTCATTATCTTTGTATAAAAAAGAACAAGATCAAACTAGGATGGGGAAACTGAGGGGATAACTCCAAAGAGGAGGAGGAAGACTTTGGGGAAAGGAGTGCCACTGATGTTGTGGCAGTGTCTTTGTTCTTCATTCTTCTTTTCATTGTCTAATTAGTGGGAAGGCAAAAGAAAAGTATTGTTTGTAGTACCACCACAAACAGAACACATATCTTACCACTACCCATTTTCATTCTTCTATGTTCTCCCTCTTCCCAGTTTTCTATTTCCAGTGATTAAACTACAACCATCCAAAAGCATAATCAACAAGTGTGGCCTTCTTTTAGGTCATGACTTAGATGGTAAAACAATGTTTTATTAACATTCACTGAAAACTTAAGATCATAGTGTGGCATAGTTGCTGCCTTTGGTTTTTATTTAAGCCAAAACAGAGAAAAACAAAGAAAGAAACGAGTCAGGTAAATTGGGATAAACATGGGGTTCTAAAGTGTAATGTGTTTCTATAAAATTTCCATTTTTTGATAGTTTGGTATTATATATTAGATTCACCACTTTTAGAAGTCAGCTTGTTTGTCTTATGGGGAACTCCATTTTTGATTAAACAAAAATCAATCTAAATCAGTTGAAAGATTTTGCAAGAGGTTTGTACTTTACTTTTCAAATAATGAAAACAGTTCATACAGAAACATGTACTACAACAATCTGGTGCAAAGTAATGTGTACTCTTGAGAAGAATATGTTGTATTTGATGTGGTTTTATTAATTATAATCTGTGTGTACTTACTGTTAATGATGAATGATATATATGCTATAAACTAGTTTGAAGTACAAACTTGCATTCTTAGAGCTGAAGTGAGAAAGCCTGCCAGAACTGGGTTAATTAGTTCTTGGGAGTAAAAAGTTTATTAACCCATAAGGGGTTGGACTTTCATAAGCTTGAGTTAGGGAAAGGCCCTCCTTAAGTCATGGGTAGGAGCTGTGACTAAGTCAAAGCTCCTGGTTTCAGTTAATCCACCTATATGCACATCTAAAATAAAGAACTAGAAAGATTGTGAGATATGAGATTCTGACATGTTTAAGCAGAGACATCCTGGGAGAAGAAGTTTACCAACCATGATTACCTTAGACCAGGGGTCTCAAACTCACGGCCTGCAGGCCAATTGCCGGGACAGGCGGGGCACCAGGAAGGGGCCCTGCGGCCTTCACAGCGCCGGCGGCGCCTGGGCCAGCCTCCGGGAGCCACGCAGGATGAGCGGCCCACCACCACCGCGGGGGTGGAACACTTGATGCGGCCCAGCCTCACCTAGACCCTACTTCCAGTGGCCCCCAGGTAAGTTGAGTTTGAGACCCCTGACCTAAGTGCTGCCAACTACACTCACCATACAGGTAACTAGAAGAACTCCACAATGACAGCTCCACTGATTAAGAGAAATACATCTCTGATTTTATTAAGAAAATGCTGCCTGCTATTTCTATTATAGTTCTAATCAGCCTGATGATCTGTCTTGCTTGTTTCGTAAGTACAAAGTTGTTATTCTGCAAGACCATTTGAACAAATAAATATATATATTCTTATTTATTTTATAACAAATATATATTCTGTTATCTGGCTCGACCGGTGCTGTAGGAACCACATCCCACGAATTAATTCTTGAACACTCAGCTGGAATTAATGAGTCAGTTGCTGAGTGAAGTCTCTTCATTTAGCCATTGCATTCTCTTTTGGCCAGATGAGTCATTGACACACCTGTGCAGGTAAAGGAAATAAGCTGCTCAGGCAGCATAGGAGTGTTTTATTCATCTCACCAAGAGGAAACCTCTTACTTGCCAAGCTGCTAGATTCCACTTGAATTTAAATTCCATGGCAATGCTGGAAGTCTAATCCACATTTACAGCTTTCTAGATGTGGAAAGGAAGGAAATGCTTTAAAAATGAACATAAAATGGGAAAGAAATTTACATTATTTACAAGAGCACAGCCAATAACATCCCTTTAGTTCTGTGTTGTCTATTTTAAGGAAGTTATCCATATTAAGCAAGCAATTCCCTAGACTTGCTTATGATTTTTATCCACATCAATCAGGTAAACTTCCAATCCAGAGGGATGGGATGGCTTCAGGAATTGAATTGCTTCATGACACTTGTTATTACTGTGATTTCCTTAAAGTATAGCAAGAATCCATGGAAAGTTGACATAAGTCCTGCGATGCCTTGATAGCTTTAGGCTCATTCTTCTCAAGCAGCCTAGCCAACACAACTACCACATGCTGAATGGAGAGGAATGTCAAAAACAGTTTATGATGTAGCATGCAGAACAGGGTGGTTGTTGTTGCTTGCTTCTGCTGTTGAAGCAAGCAAGCAAGCAAGCAAGCAAGCAAGCAAGCAAGCAAGCAAGCAAGCAGAAATAGACATTCAACCACAATCCTGCAAGCACTTGGCCAGAACTCATGTGTTTTCTTTGAATCCCACTTTAGAAGTGGTAACTTCAGTCTAATATATTTAATAGATACTAGAACAGAATGTTACCCTAAGAGAATTCCAAGTCTATGCCCACTCTCGGGCATACAGCCTTATTACCACCAGTTCACACCTTCTTATTCACTACTTTTTAATTATGCTTTTTTCCATACAGATGGCATACTGCTCAAGTTGCTGAAACATCCTATCAGGCAAATCGAGTTACTAATTCAAAGACCCATTTGCCACCATGCAGTATTAATTCAGGCTCCTTTATCATTTTTTTGGTGCCAAAGGAAAACAATCTGTTCACAGAGCAGTTGCTGTTTTCAATACCGAGCATAGTAGATTTGTTTGTTTTGTCTCTACATTTTATTCTAATGAGTTATGTACACAGCCCTCTGATTTGATAATAAAAGGCTGTATAAATATTTTAAACTAACAAAATATATTAGTAT